CACTGCAATTTCCCAGCTTGGGATCAATAAAGTATATCTATCTATCTATCTATCTATCTATCTATCTATCTATCTATCTATCTATCTATGTATCTACTTGTCAACGGCAAATTAAGATAAATTGGTTTGTTTTTCTGGTTTCTTTCCACAGTCTAGACATGCAGGTTAGATGAATTAGAAACTTTAAGTTGCCAGTACATTTGAAGTTGAAATCACTATGTTCTGTCGTTGTAGGTTGCCTTAACAGCCCTGGCAGAGTCTCGCAGTAGCAACAGAAGGCGTTCCAAACGGGTAATTGCTTCATGTTTAGAATTGCAAACTCTGGCCGAATGTTTTACTTCTTGCAGTAATTCTAACAATTATATTTATCTACATTGTGGGTAACAGGAGCTTTTGGTGCGTTCCAAAAGAAGGTGGGTTTTGTCTACAATTGAAGTAGGAGAGGAAGACCCTGGACCATTCCCCAAAGTCATTTCTCAGGTGAAAACATTTATTTATTTTTTTGTAAACATTGCAAAAAATTACCATGTGACAGATCAATATTCTGGCCAATATCCAGGCCAAATATGCAAACAATAACAGCTGAATGGTTTGTGTCTTGACACTAGATGTTTAATAACATGTCGGGAAACAACCATGAGTTCCGTATAAGTGGAATGGGTGTGGATGAGGATCCAAAGGGTGTGTTCAAGATCAATTCACAGAACGGGATGGTTTTTGCTCAGAGATCTATTGACAGAGAGAGATATCCTGAACCTTTCCATGTGAGCTAATCTCCTCTCCTCTGATGATACATACATGTTATGTTGATTTTTAGTAATTGATTTTAAGAAATGATTTATATGAGTACCTTTACCAACAGATCAAGTTTGAAATCTATGACAGATTGAAGCAAGAACCATTGGACAAGGAATTGGCTTTTGATATAGAAATAAAAGATATCAATGACAATGCACCTGCATTTCTTGCACCTCAAATACAAGAAAATGTGAAGGAAAATATAGATGAAGGTGAGTATACAGTTGCTTAAATCACTCATAGAGTATGCATTGTTTTCTGCCTGCAGTCACTGAGTATCACACATCAAACAAATGCAAACAATAAACAGTGATATGGCTATTTCCTACTTCCTATTATTCAATAACATATTCATACTCCTTTCCTCAACTTCTTGAAGGGTACTTACCAGTGCAGCTGCAGGCCATGGACAGAGATCAGGCGAACACGACTAACTCCAAAATAACAATCAGTCTGATTAAACAAACACCAGAAACACCTAAGATTGGTTTGATACAGCTCGATGGCAGAATGGCCCAACTCACCTATGAGGGATGTTTTGACTATGATGTGAGACTCTGTGACTTACTGTGCCTACATCAGAGGGCTGCTGCATGTATATGACACATACATATATTGATTTTGTCAATATAATATGTAAAATATAATCCTTCACGTATGTTTCAGAAAATAAAGAAGTATGAGATTATCGTTCAAGCACGTGATCATGGAACACCGTCCCTTTCCTCCACTGGTGTTATTACTCTCAATATCTTGGACGCAAACACTCATCAACCGACGTTCAAGGAGAGAAAGGCACAGATATATTTATCATCATTATTACAATTAAAGAGCTTTTTATAGTGATATGTGATGTTAAATATGAAACTGTTCTGCTTTTCCAGTACAATGGGATGGTAAATGAATCAGCCATCCAAGAAGTGTTGAGAGTTGCGGTAGAGGACAAAGACACTCCTAAAACTGCCGCTTGGCGTGCGCAATACTATTTCATTACAGGGAATGAGGAAGGAAACTACAAACTTGAGACTGACCCCATCACTAATGATGGTATTCTGAGTGTCATAAAGGTAATTCTGTTTCTGTGGACGAGGCTTACAGTCCAGACAAAGTTTAATCATTTATCATAGATAGTACTGACCTAAACTTGTGCGATTCTTCCAGGGCAAGGATTATGAAAAAACAGTTTTGACCAAACTGCAGATTGGAGTAAGAAATGAAGAACCCTTCAAGGTTTGTAAAGATAAATCAGCTGCTGGAGGAAGCACACCTGATTCAGTCGAGATCTCAGTCAAAGTGATTGATGTCAATGATCCACCGGAGTTTAAGAACAGTCCAGCTGATGTGTACCAGAAGGAAGAGGAAAAGCCAGGAAAGTTGCTGTTCACTCCAGTGGTTGTAGATGTCGAATCTGATGAATTCAGGTTTGTGTCTATACACTGTATATCTACTGAGCTTATTGCCAAATTGTGAATAGAGGGTGATTTATGCTGCTGGTCACTGATATCAACATTTGAAAGTTCAAAAAAATTGTACAACACTATAGGATTTTTAGAGATGATTCAATACCATTTTCTCCTTCCTGATACCAATTCCTATTCCTAAATTTTGCATATTGGCTGAAACCAAGTTCTGAGCCAATAAATGCTCATTATAAAATAGATACATGTACCTGTATTTATATATATACATACATATATATATATATACATACATACATATATATATATATATATATATA